AATACACGAGATAAAGTGGTGGAATCTGTTTCTCTAATGATTTTAAAATGATATCTAAACAAGATTAACCTTCCTCTTCAAGGATTTGCAGAAAGTTGTGTTCTTTATATGTAACATCATCAAGCATGGTCGCCTTTTTTCATGATGTCACAAAAGGAATTAGTCAGATGAAATCAAGAAAATTTGACGTCATAATTGAAATTTCAACCAATCATTTGCCGAGAACAAAGTTTTCTCTAGAGAGGAGAAATATTTTTTCTCACACCGATCGAGACATGTGAAAAAAGGGCCAATAATAAAATTAAGATTGTTTGATGTTGCCTTACCTACCCATCTAAAAAGCAGCCTACCCGTAAAATGTCATGACACAAATCAGTTCCAATTTTATAAAAGATTTTTTCCTGCTCTAATGTTGTTTTCTTGTCTAAAACATGTAACTTATGTTGTTGGCCAAAAAAAAATAAAATCCCTACCTACCTACCCAACCTTACAAGGCATGGGTAGGCAACATTAAACAAAATTTTTTAAGGGAGACCTAGCATGAAAATAAGAGAAATATATATGTATTGCATAAAAATTCAGGTTTTTGTTTTAGACATTATCTGGGACTATTATAATAGTCCCAGACATTATGCAGGCCTATAGATATCAATTGGTTTCTTTTGTCACTAAGTGGCAGTTTTATTGACTCCCAACAGCTCCTTTCATAATAATTTATGCTTCAAAATTGACAATATCTAGGTTTCTTGATGTTAAACTGACCCAAGCCTGCCATACCATTTGTACATTAAGTAAACATGAATGAATTCTTCAAAATTCTAATAAAGAAATGTTTGTGATAAAACTTAAGCCTTTTCCTGTAACATTTTCAAATTAAAGTCATGTTGGTGAATTTAGCATTAAATTAAAAACAAGCCTCCCTTTCATGTCCCTGTGTTCATTTCAATTAGACAAATGAGAATGAAACTTTGAATAAAACCTTTCATATTATTGTAGCTATTTAGATAAAAGCCAATTTCAAAAGTCAATGATACACCAGTTAAATCAAACATGCCAAGCGTATTATCGCTGGATACAGCAAATTCGTTCCTATTTAATTCTCCGTTGCCAGATTATGTTTATATTTACCGATAGTGATATTATAGGACAAACAATTCTCGGACTCTCTCTTTCAGCCTTATTTATCTACATATTTGTGAACACATCAGTCCGTTGACACAACCATTCTGCTACATAGAGCAATGGAAATTTTAATCTTAAAGTTCACACGTTGCTCTTTGTATTCCAGATAAATGGCTATCATTTATATAGGGTTCTAAATGAATTCAAAACTATTTGAAGTCACACAGTTCTTTATAATCTGGATGTCAAAAATATTTTTATATAAAATGACCTATATTACTTTTGTTAGTTTGACCATGAAGACCATATCAAATATTGGATGTTGGAATTTAAACAGTTGCCAAACATCTTTGGGATCCTCCTTCTTATATTTTTTTATTCAGGAAATCACACTCTGAAGACCATTGTATGATGTAAAATCAAGCTAAAAGTTTTAAAAAAAAAAGACATATATATATAGATAAATGGCAAATCTCCTTTTAACACATTTTCCTCAAGTTATCAGTTTGCTTTCAACTCGGGTTTGAATATTTCCGTTTGGTATCTCTCGCCTCTCTTTTTACAACTTTCCCCAAATAGCAAATAAACTTTTGAAATAGTCTGGTTCATTAAGTTTAAGGTCCTTTCACACCCATGATATGGGTTTTCTTATGATAATCTTTAACACTAGGTCTACTACATGTATAGGGCAGACCATGGTACCTACTTAATTTGGAAAGGAATAAATGACAGTCTGCACTGTTAACCACTAGTCCAATGCCTTGTAAAGTAAAGCTACATTTAGACTAAAGTAAGTACATGCAAAACTTTGTTTAGACACATGAAATAAAATATCGATATATTCATCTACGGACTACTGTAGTTGGAAAAGTTTTTGGTGAAGACAGCTGATTTGATACCAATTTCCAAGTACTAGTGTTTACCTGTACATGTTCCACAGTTTCAGAAAAAAATCTTCCTCAAGTTTAAAAATAGACATACAACTTTAAAGAGACAACCCCTGGCAAGACTCAGCTGAAGTCTGTACACTATTGACCCCATGAGAAATACTTAAATGGAAAAAGCATTTACAAATTCACAGTTTTTTTTGGGGTCCAACAATGGACATTTCATGTTGTTTTGTTATAACTTTCATCACTTGTAATTTCATTTTTACAAGGATACAAATACAATTACCTTATGAAAAATCATATGACAGTTATAATCTTTCTTTCAAGTGATTATGAAACATATATATATAGAGTGGATTATTATGTTTCCGTTGTTTCCATTGTTCAAATTCTAATTTTTTTAAATATAAAAAACCTAATTGTTCTGATTATCAAAAACAAAAAATACTACAGCGGAAACAAATTTTTTTTTCCTAACAATTAGGCTTGAACTTTTGGACTAGAAAGTAACCTTTAAAAATGTATAATATATCAATACGTTTGATGAACTATTGTGAAAGTGCTGAAAGTCAAGTACTTGTATCCAGTTTAAAGTTTATGGTTACAAACCATGAACCAGCAATTCAAACAAAATGTATATGTAAGCTCAAAAAAAAAAAGCTTCATGGACATTATTTCTGTTTGATGTTTAAAAAAAACAATTTTTTACATTTTTGATTGATTGATTGATTGTTGGTGTTTTAACGCCACGTTTAAGTGCCACTTTTGGGCTATTTCGTGGCGGTCAGTTTTTATAGGTGGAGGAAGCTGCAGTGCCCAGAGGAAACCACTGACCTTCGATAGGAAAACTGACAATCCTAGTCAATTAAGGTTGGAATCGAGTGCACCTGCACGAGCGGGGTTCGAACTCACAACCTCAGTGTTGACTGGCTAGTGATTACAGTAGTAGAACTACTTAGACCACTTGGCCACCGAGGCCCCTTTTACATTTTTGAAAAACAGCATAGTTTTGCAATGTTGCACTGCTAGCCTTTTAGTCTAGCTACATGTATGTCTGTAAATATGTGAAGCATCACATACCATACTCATTTCTTTCATTCATAGTTCCTGACTATGCATACATCATGTACATGTATGTATGTGCAAGTTTAATCTTAAATGCCCTCTAGTTGTTTTGGAAATATAATTGATATACATGTAGGTTACCAGTATGACAATGATAAAACAGACAACACATGTGAAAAGATGACTGATTGTGATCTGTATATATACTAATACACTGCCTGTGAATGAAGCAGGCAACACAAAAAGGAGGAATCTAATATTTGATTTATTTTTCATTCTGACAAAGTCTTATAATCGAGTCTTTCAATAACTTAACTGCATTCTGAATTATGGCACATACCCATTTCATTTCTTTTATCTATGAGGGTCAGGATGGGGTTTACAGAATAGCAAATATTGGACCAAATCTACAGAATAATAAATAGGCCAAAAATATAAAGAATAAAGAAAGAATATGCAAAAAAAGTAATGAATAGAGAATAATGAGGTGCTACATGTACATGTATATAAAATACAAAGAATAGAGAAAAACGACCTTAAAAATGAAAGAAAAACTACTACTATTGGGTGTTTAACTACCTTGCCTACCCATGAGGGTCTAGCACTGTCTAAAAGAATACAGAAATGAAGGACTGTGGCCCATCCAGAGCCTCATTTATACTTCATAATTGAGAATTTGTGCATGTTTGTGAATTGACCTTTATTTGATCTGACTACTTGTTGGTGTACAGTATAAATGTGCAGACGACACATGACGACACATGACACACATTGACTGAAAATGATCCCCTATGTACAGACCCAGCCAAGCAGACTACAAAAAAAGGCCACATCTTACCTTTGATGAGTTTTTAAGGTTATGTTCATTATGAAAAGTGAAACATAACCTGAGCCTCATTCATATACCAAATTAACTCTTCAAAATACTGAAACATCTTCTGATTTATTGGCTAAACCTACCGTAGATACAGAAAGGGGTACCGACTTATAGGAGATATCTCAGGGCCAGGGTAAAAAATCTAAGTCTACAGGTCTAAGAAAAAGTCTGATGTAAGTCCTCAGATGTGAAAATGTTCTTGAAACTTATTTGTTACAGAAGGGAACTGACAAAAATAGTTAGTTAATTTCCTGTGAAAATTAAGGAAAAAATATTACAACATTCAGTTTCAAAAATTATTCTTGTTCCTGTATGTTATTGAAAAAAAAACATGCCCCCTCACAAAAGAAGTGCCTAATAGTTGTTTTTGAGATATTGGTGATGTAGTAAAAGCATGTAGACAATACTGCAGACAAAACATGCCACCAGTGCTAACAAGATTACTGATTATGATCCCTGTATGAACCAACCCAAATAAAAAACAACAGAGAAAGGCCAAATCTAATGTTTGATGAGGTTATATAAGGCTAGGCCAAATCTAACGTTTGATGAGGTTATATAAGGCTAGGCCAAATCTAACGTTTGATGAGGTTATATAAGGCTGGGCCAAATCTAACGTTTGATGAGGTTATATAAGGCTAGGCCAAATCTAACGTTTGATGAGGTTATATAAGGCTAGGCCAAATCTAACGTTTGATGAGGTTATATAAGGCTAGGCCAAATCTAACGTTTGACGAGGTTATATAAGGTTAGGCCAAATCTAACGTTTGACGAGGTTATAAAAGGCTAGGCCAAATCTAATGTTTGACGAGGTTATATAAGGCTAGGCCAAATCTAACGTTTGATGAGGTTATATAAGGTTATGTTTATTCCGAAAGTTATGTAACCTGTTATATGTATTACTGGGAACACCCATAAAGTGTAAAAGTAATATACAATTAGAGTACATTCATCCATTTTATTGTTGGATCACCGAATTCTCTTATTACCCTATAAAAGATGGATATTTGTATCAAATTTCCAATAACAGAAATATCGATTCCTACCTTGTGGTATCTGGATAATAAAATTTCTCCTCCTGTTTTCCTTAATTTGATTGGTCCAAAAGATTCAGATTTATGTAATTTACAGTTTTTCTTGGCTTTAGCGGGAGAACTCGCCTCCTCTGAACTTGTTGATCCTCTGTTATTGTTTACAGTCACTTGTACGCCATTACAATCCCTAGATAGTGAGTCTGTCGGTGATTTAGGCTGATCATCAGGTTCTTCAATGCACAGAGAAACATCTAAAATTTCTGACGATTCTGTCAGTTCTTCATCCGATTCTATAGAACTATCTAAAACCAGCGACACTTCAGAATCCTTTGATACATTATTATTGTTATTATTTTTAGTGGCGGACATTAATTTTTTAGTATCCTCAAACGAATGTTTACAATTTACCGGTGATTTTAAACTTGCATTATCTGACTCAGACTTTTTCCTAACACTACTCCCGGACATATTTAGTTGTTCAGAATCGGTCAAGGAAACTTTCCTAAGTTTTTTCAGTTGAAGTTTCAGACTGTCATTGTGTACGGTTGTATCTCCCATATTTGTATCTTAATAACATAGACTTCCTGATCACTTCAATGATTGTTATAATCCCTGTCGTAGGTTCATTTCCTTTAGCCCTAGTTTTATATCGATATTAAGCGTACAATTAAGTGAAACGTTGTCAATACTTGCCAATACCACCCTTGCTGTCAGGACTAGATATAGCGTAAAATGATGAATTGTTAACTAACTTATATCTCTCACATATATTTATAATTTGTCTAGATGGAATTTATATCCCTGCAGAATTAATAGCAATAACAGAAAAGATACATGCTGATGACTTTCTATATTGTTTCTTACAAATCTTCAAATGATTGTAAAAACAGAAATAATCCAACTATTTCACCAGAATTTCTACCTGCACTTTTGATACTTGGTAAAATTAATTGAATCTACTGTCTTCAGAATTAACTAGGTCTTAAAACGGAACAAATGTTTTACCAGAGTTTCTACCTACTCTTTTGAAAGTTGGTAAACCAACTGAACCTACGTATACAAGTCAAGAGAATTAACTAGGTCCAAGTTCATTAGAATCCTTCTAACATTTTAAACAATACACTAATTGCATATGTAGGTCCAAATTAATTAAGATCACAAGTTGTCAAACACATCTGTACATTAATTTACATATCCTATGTATAATGAATTTTATCCTTTTGGAATCAAACATAAAATATCAAGTTATGTTTATCTGAATTGTCTCTATTAACATATGTCCTTTCAAAAGAACACTTTAAATTTTTTACAATGTCATAAATAAGATTTGAGATGACCTGAAGTGTCCATGAAAATATATCCTTTTCAAAGTACTGATTTAATGAACACAAAAATCTCCTCCTAATAAGGTTGATAAAAATATTACCTGTCCTTATAAAAAGTCCGAATTTGAATTATACATGAAAACACATCCTTTCATTAAATCAACGGGAAGCATCGGACAATATTTTTTTAACTTCTCAAATTATGCGGAAACTTGATTTAAATTCTAGTATCAAATGAAAATTAAATTATTTTCTTAATAAAATCTAATAAAATCCCAGATATAAGTATCACTTGTAAAATAACAAAGTAACGGAGATACCAAGTTAAATCTAAATCAAATATCAGGTAACCCTTCCTTTCCTTTCCTTTAAAAAAAAAATCTCTGCAAATTGTACGACCAATCAGAAATTCCTTCAGTAAACATAAAAGATCATGAACACCTCCTTTTAAAATCACATAAAATCACAGAAAATAACCTTGTAAAATATTAGGTCTGTTTACAATAGATTCGGTTTCTATAATTATGTAGACATAAAATTTTGTAGTACATCTTTTTTAAACTCCTTCTGCATTTAAAAACTTTCCTGAAAACTGAGTCAAGAACTTTAAGCACACTTACAGCCAGTCCATTATGAGCATTAAATATAATGTCCCTGAAATATATTGATAAATTGTCCACACAGAGCACCAAATCCTAAATATGATGAAAACTTGTCTAAATAACAAGTGTCCAAGAATTGTAACTTTAAAACAAGCTGCTGAACATTTCCACACACACATAAACAATTTTAACTTCCTGATAAGGGTTACAACCAGTCCACATTAAATTTCAAATAAATGTTTCTAAATAACATAAATGTACAACAATATCCTTGTTTCTAATCCAATGAATGTCCTTCAATATTTTAAAAGTACATTTGTTTTAGTAAATCACCTTAAAATAGTCTAGGTTTCAATTGAAAAATACATCACTGAATAGATTTCAACCTGTCTTTAAAATACGAGAAAAAAAACATTTATTTAACAATATCAGTTCTCTGAAGCACATGATGAATTGAATAAAAAGTCCATTTTTTGTTTGTGTGCCCAATTATATTAACGGCAGAAAATATGATACATCATGCTATTTTCTGCAACTTTATACCTCATTAAAATTCATCCTATAAAGAGAAATTTAAACAAGAATTAAACTTTTCAAATTTCCATTAACAAATCTTACTAAAATAGTGTCCTAACCACAATCTTGACTGGCAGACCATAACATTTTTTTCAATGTTCGTTATCATGTTATCAAAATGTTAGAGAAGAAAACATCTCATCTTTGTACAAATCTACAAAATATTTCAGATGAATCAAGGTATCCGTCCAATTATATGAAAATTTAAAACTCCTGAAAACCGATATATAACAGACCCTTTTTAAAAATGACGAAATTGCATCACAAGTGTTTGTTTAAAAGTATAGAATCAACAAATTGATTTGTACTTAAAAATAAGTGAAAATTTCGATAAAAAATTTCTGCATTTTAAAGCTGCATACAAGGTTCAGCGGTTTTATGGAATTAAGTTCTTCTAATACCTAATTACAAGAACACTAAAATATTATGTTGTTCCTCCCAGGCACAAAGTACTTGTGATGTATAATTATACGTTTCTTTACATAGTCGTTATTGAAGTATAAATGAGTACGAGATTCAATGTACCATGTCTTTGCATAATAAGTTTAACAAGTTATCATAAAACATGAATTACTAAACATACAGTGATGTAATGTAAGAATATTTTTTTATTTTTCATATATCAATACAGGTGTATGGCTGGATGAAAATTTTAATTACCCTAGACTAAAGGAACTTTCAATTTCTGAAAACTGACAGAGAATTTCAATAGCAGATGTAAAGAAGTTGTATAATTGAGATACCTTATAAAAATAAGAAGATGTGGTGTGATTGCCAATGAGACAACTCTCCACCAGAGACCAAAAGAAGTATTATGCTATCAATTGTTATGTCACAGTATGGCCTTCAGCAATGAGCAAAACCAACACCACATCTCAAGCTATAAAAAGCCAGAAATGACAAATGGATAACAATTCAAACCAGAAAAGCAACTGCCTATTTTATGTACAAAACAATAAAGGAGAAACAAATTTGATACATTGTATACAGCAAAAAAAGACAACCACTAAATTATAGGCTCCTGCGACTTGGGACACATGTATACACATATTGGTGTTACCAACAATTATCTTATATTGAATTCTTTTGATATGTAGACATTTGACTGGTTGAATCTTCTTTTTTATTATTCTGTGTTAAAGATATTTTAAATAACCTTCATTTTGTTTTTTGTTAATTATTTAGGGGGGCCCACCCCGGGGTTTCTCCAAAGTCTTTACGTTATTAGGTGTACTTATTTACTCAGCAGATGGAGAACTTGGTCCCTTTCTTTTTTTGCAATGTATAAAAAAGCCATTCCTGTAGTAGGTTGACTTTCAATGCACCAGAAACATTTTTTGAGTGACTTTTTTTAAAAAACCAAAGGAGATATATTCTTAACATCTCAGACTGAGGACTTTCATCCAAGAATTACATAGTTTTATATATTAGTTTGGGATTGAAAATATCCACAACATCTACGACTATTCAGCTACATTACAAAATAAACATTGCTATGTAATTGCTTGTTGCCACTGTCTTGGATTATTTCAGCAGAAAAACCTATGTATACACCATACAAATCCAGCATCTGTTCTTTCCATATGATATTCATATTTATCAATCAAACAATAAATGTTTACTAACGATTCTCAGCTACTGTAGTTTCCTTCTGAAGTTCTTATTATGAATTTGAACTTTTTTCATTCTGAACACAAAGCTACCACTTCTAATAGAGCATGGTTTGCATGAGTTGTCTCCATTATGAATTTGAATATATACAGTTAGTATAGCAATTTTGATTATTTATTTTAGGCAAAGTTTTAGATATCTAAAATTAAAGTTCCTATTAACAGCTCAGTAATTAGTTTTTCATAGTTTACCTACTTTTGTATAATAAACTTCTATAGATACTGCTTTTTTTCTATCTTCTGCATGGGGATTTATTGTTCGTACAGAACACTTATTTTTATCTTCTGCATGGGGATTTATTGTTCGTACAGAACATTTATTTTTATCTCCTGCATGGGGATTTATTGTTCGTACAGAACATTTATTTTTATCTTCTGCATGGGGATTTATTGTTCGTACAGAACATTTATTTTTATCTTCTGCATGGGGATTTATTGTTCGTACAGAACATTTATTTTTATCTTCTGCATGGGGATTTATTGTTCGTACAGAACATTTATTTTTATCTTCTGCATGGGGATTCATCGTTTGTACAGAACATTTATTTTTATCTTCTGCATGGGGATTTTATTGTTTGTACAGAACATTTATTTTTATCTTCTGCATGGGGATTTATTGTTCGTACAGAACATTTATTTTTATCTTCTGCATGGGGATTCATCGTTCGTACAGAACATTTATTTTTATCTTCTGCATGGGGATTTTATTGTTCGCACAGAACATTTATTTTTATCCTTGTATGGGTAACATTTTTTTTTTAGTTCTTGCCAGGACAGGATAAGTATTTCCAAATTCCTCCTCCCCAACCCTTCCCCCTAAGGAAATCAAATGGTTATCCAGGACTCATCCCTCAGGGTAAAAGTATTCCTAGTTTGCATCGGTATATGCCATGAAGATTGCAATTGTTTCTTCTTAACTTCTCCAACTGCCTAGGCAAGGTCAAACCAAAGAATTGAAAATTGCTATTTGTTCTTTTATACTATGCATTAGAACATTTAAGAGTAAGATCAAAAACTGATCTACTTCAAGTCAGAATAAAATGCTTCGCTGGGGCGCAGCTTGATACGACCGCAGAGGTCGAACCCTGAACAGTTGGGGCAAGTATGGACACAACATTCAAGCTTGATACAGCTCTGAATTTGGATTGTTATTAAATATTTGACACAGCATAGGTTTCTGACACAGAAAGAATGTGGTCTAAGAACTTGAATTTTTTTAATTTACCTATTATGGTCCAATGTCCAAAATCAAAATACATGGTTAGATTCAGCATATCAAAGAACCCCATATATTCAATTTTTGTTAAAATCAAACAAAGTTTAATTTTGGACCCCAACTTGGACAAACTTGAAAACTGGGCCCATAATCAAAAATCTAAACACATGTTTAGATTCAGCATATCAAAGAACCCCAATTCAATTTTTGCTAAAATCAAACTAAGTTTAATTTTGGACCCTTTGGACCTTAATGTAGACCAATTTAAAAAACGGGACTTAAAATTAAAAATCTAAATACACGGTTAGATTTGGAATATCAAAGAACCCCAAGAATTCAATTTTCGATGAAATCAAACAAAGTTTAATTTTGGACCCTTTTGACCTCAATATGAACCAATTTGATAGCGGGGCCTATAAATAAAAAATCTAAATACATGGTTAGATTCAGCATATCAAAGAACCTCATATATTCAATTTTTGATGAAATCAAACAAAGTTTAATTTTGGACCCCAATTTGGACCAACTTGAAAACTGGGCCCATAATCAAAAATCTAAATACATGTTTAGATTCAGCATATCAAAGAACCCCATATATTCAATTTTTGTTGAAATCAAACAAAGTTTAAATACTGGACCCTATCTTGGACCAACTTGAAAACTGGGCCCATAATCAAAAATCTAAACACATGTTTAGATTCAGCAAATCAAAGAACCCCAAAAATTCAATTTTTGTCAAAATCAAACTAAGTTTAATTTTGGACCCTTTGGACCTCAATGTAGACCAATTTAAAAAACAGGACCCAAATTTAAAAACCTAAATACACGGTTAGATTTGGAATATCAAAGAACCCCAATAATTCAATTTTAGATGAAATCAAACAAAGTTTAATTTTGGACCCTTTTGACCTCAATATGAACCAATTAGATAACGGGGTCCACAAATAAAAAATCTAAATACATGGTTAGATTCAGCATATCAAAGAACCCCATATATTCAATTTTTGTTGAAATCAAACAAAGTTTAATTTTGGACCCCAATTTGGACCAACTTGAAAACTGGGCCAAAAATCAAAAATCTAAATACATGTTTAGATTCAGCATATCAAAGAACCTCATATATTCAATTTTTGCTAAAATCAAACAAAGTTTAATTTTGGACCCTTTGGACATTAATGTAGACCAATTTGAAAACTGGACCCAAAATTAAAAATCTAAATACACTGTTAGATTCGGCATAACAAATAAATAAATGTGATCAAAGATTTTACAAATC